GAGGAACAGTGAGTACTCCCCACACACCCACACACACACAGTCATGGAGGAACAGTGAGTACTCCCCACACACCCACACACACACACCGTCATAGAGGAACAGTGAGCACTCTCGACACCCACACACACCCACACACACACACACACACACCGTCATGGAGGAACAGTGAGTACTCTCCACACACACACACACACATCGTCATGGAGGAACAGTGAGTACTCCCCACATATACATACATACCCTTACTACCTTAGTCCTGGGTGCGTTTTTTGTTTTCTTTTTAGGAACATTGAGTACTCCCCACACACCCACACACACACACACACACACCGTCATGGAGGAACAGTGAGTACTCCCCACACACCCACACACACACCGTCATAGAGGAACAGTGAGTACTCTCGACACCCACCCCCCCACACACACACACACAGTCATGGAGGAACAGTGAGTACTCCCCACACACCCACACACACACAGTCATGGAGGAACAGTGAGTACTCCCCACACACACACACACACACACCGTCATAGAGGAACAGTGAGCACTCTCGACACCCACACACACCCACACACACACACACACACCGTCATGGAGGAACAGTGAGTACTCCCCACACACACACACACACATCGTCATGGAGGAACAGTGAGTACTCCCCACACACCCACACACACACACACACTGTCATGGAGGAACAGTGAGTACTCCCCACACACCCACACACACACCGTCATAGAGGAACAGTGAGCACTCTCGACACCCACACACACCCACACACACACACACACACACCGTCATGGAGGAACAGTGAGTACTCTCCACACACACACACACACATCGTCATGGAGGAACAGTGAGTACTCCCCACACACACACACACACACACCGTCATGGAGGAACAGTGAGTACTCTCCACACACACACACACACACACACACACCGTCATGGAGGAACAGTGAGTACTCCCCACACACACACACATCGTCATGGAGGAACAGTGAGTACTCCCCACATATACATACATACCCTTACTACCTTAGTCCTGGGTGCGTTTTTTGTTTTCTTTTAGACGTGTTCGTTCCAGTTGTATGTAGCCTTTTGTATATGCCAGTAACTTGACATTTAATTTTTCTCTCTTTAGTATGTTCTCAGGTATCAAGTATGAGAAGGTTCAAAGGTGAGTTAGTCAAACGTTAGAGATTATCTGTCAGTTTACTGTCAGTTGGTTATGTTGGTTCTATACATACAGCAAAGCTTTCTTTCTCTTTCTCTCTCTCTCTCTCTCTCTCTCTCTCTCTCTCTCTCTCTCTCTCTCTATATATATATATATATATATATATATATATATATATATATATATATATATATATATATATATATATATATATATATATATATATATATATATATATAAACGCACAAAAACATACATATGTATATGTATATGTAATCTCCGCATGTACCTAAAAGACAAGACACGAAAACGATCCACGTCGCTCGACAGAAAAATGTCAGGTAAAATACATCTTACTTTTTCTTTTAAGTGTGGCAAAATTATTACTTTGCAATTACCTTAAACTTAGTTAAAAAGTCGGATTTTAAACGCAGCATGCCGTGCCCTTAGTGTATGGCCCTCTTTACGGCGAACGTAGGCGCCATAGAGCTAACGGGGCGCACCAAGTAAACCACAGGGTCGCTGGTTGACGAGTCTGGTGCAGTAGAACCGTTAAATCAATAGTGACCTTGACCCCCTTTTCAGGACGATCAGTCATAAGATCTGAGCACCAAACCACACCCTGCTGCCAGATAGACAGACCTGCAGACATAATTTCATTCATATATATATATATATATATATATATATATATATATATATATATATATATATATATATATATATTTATTTATTTATTTATTTATATATATATATATATATATATATACATATTTATATTTATATTTATATATATATATATATATATATATATATATATATATATATATATATATATATATATATATATATATATATATATATATATATATATATATATATATATATATAAATGGATACAAACTGGTAATTTTTCCAGAAGCGTGTTTGAAAAACAGTCTGCGGGCACCTCTGAGATGGAAATGTAAACGTCTTAACACGTCAACTGTTACATCTGTGTTGGATGATAAAAGTTACATGTTGGATGATAAAAGTTACATGTTGGATGATAAAAGTTGAATGTTGGATGATAAAAGTTACATGTTGGATGATAAAAGTTACATGTTGGATGATAAAAGTTAAATGTTGGATGATAAAAGTTAAATGTTGGATGATAAAAGTTGAATGTTGGATGATAAAAGTTAAATGTTGGATGATAAAAGTTGAATGTTGGATGATAAATGTTACATGTTGGATGATAAAAGTTACATGTTGGATGATAAAAGTTACATGTTGGATGATAAAAGTTACATTTTGGATGATAAAAGTTACATGTTGGATGATAAAAGTTACATGTTGGATGATAAAAGTTACATGTTGGATGATAAAAGTTACATGTTGGATGATAAAAGTTACATGTTGGATGATAAAAGTTACATGTTGGATGATAAAAGTTACATGTTGGATGATAAAAGTTACATGTTGGATGATAAAAGTTACATGTTGGATGATAAAAGTTACATGTTGGATGATAAAAGTTACATGTTGGATGATACAAGTTAAAATGTTGGATGATAAAAGGTAAATGTTAAATGATAAAAGTTACATGTTGGATGATAAAAGTTAAAATGTTGGATGATAAAAGTTAAATGTTGGATGATAAACATTTTGGATGACACATATTATATGTTGGATGCAGGTTGCAGTATGATATTGTTCTCCCAACAACCAAGTCCAAAATGTAAGTAGGGAAATCAAATCAGTATCGATACATAAGGGGGATAATGTGTAAAGCTATACAAGGGGAGATAAGGTGGTATATAGTACAAGGGGAGATAACGTGGAATATTGTACAAGGGGAGATAACGTGGAATATTGTACAAGGGGAGATAACGTGGAATATTGTACAAGGGGAGATAACGTGGAATATTGTACAAGGGGAGATAACGTGGAATATTGTACAAAGGAATATAGAGCTAACAAATAGTGCAGTATCGAGATGTTCTTTATGCTGATATAAATATGTTCTTTACGTCAGCATCCGAAGCTCTCTGAAGTACAGTACAGCCTTCACGCAATGGTGAGATTGGGATTATTAATTTTTAGTGAAGAGATTTAGATTAGGATTAAAATTTTCTAGATCATTCTGACATTTTCTATGACCATTTTAGATTGTATGTTATAGACGGTGAATTTTTTTTCTATGATTTTTAATTTTTTTTTTTTTTTTTGCAATTTTACAATAACGTGGTTTAGTAACTTTATGTTTTATAATGCTATCATTTGTATGAACAACTTCTCTACCTGGAGTGGATTAAAAGCTTACTGGGTTTTTTTTTTCTCTTTCAGGAAAGTTCTAGAGAATGTGGTCAAGTAGTAAGTGTCTACAACCTATACATACATACATACAAACATACAAACACACACACACACATACATATATTATACATATATATATATATATATATATATATATATATATATATATATATATATATGTATATATATATATATATATATATATATATATATATATATATATATATATATATATATATATATATATATATATATAAAGAAGACATGTAACTATATTCTATTCGGTAACATTCACCCCCCCCTCATCTATCAATCTATAAAGCAGAGGCTTCCATTTAAATATGACAAACCTCAATCTGGTGTCACTATATTAGATGGTGACACCACATTGGATGGTGTCACCACATTGGATGGTGTCACCACGCTGGATGGTGTCACTACATTAGATGGTATCATCCCACAAGTCTATTGACATCACTATAATGTGACAAAACCTGCACCATAAATGTGACTGAAAATATAATATGACAAAACCTGCACCATAAATGTGACTGAAAATATAATGTGACAAAACCTGCACCATAAATGTAATTCAAACCATAATGTGACAAAACCTGCACCAGAAATGTGACTGAAACCATAATGTGACAAAACTTGCACCATAAATGTGACTGCAACCATAATGTGACAAAACCTGCACCATAAATGTTACTGAAACCATAATGTGACAAAACCTGCACCAGAAATGTGACTGAAACCATAATGTGACAAAACTTGCACCATAAATGTGACTGAAACCATAATGTGACAAAACTTGCACCATAAATGTGACTGAAACCATAATGTGACAAAACTTGCACCATAAATGTTACTGAAACCATAATGTGACAAAACCTGCACCAGAAATGTGACTGAAACCATAATGTGACAAAACTTGCACCATAAATGTGACTGAAACCATAATGTGACAAAACCTGCACCATAAATGTTACTGAAACCATAATGTGACAAAACCTGCACCATAAATGTGACTGAAACCATAATGTGACCAAACTTTTAAGCATGAACAAGGCCAAGCTGAGAAGGTTTTCTGAACGGAGAGCTTCGGACAGACGGGGGTCTTCTATACCGGACAGAGGGGGGTCGGACAGAGGGGGGTCAGACAGAAGAGCATCCCACTGGAGACCTGACCGGTAAGTATTTGCTCAGTTAGTTGTTGACCTGGGTCAGTTAGTTGTTGACCTGGGTCAGCTAGTTGTTGATCTAGGGTTAATCACAGGTTCGACAACTCTGGTTAAAATACAGGTTCAACAACTCTTCTTTAAAAATAGAGGTTCGGCAACTCCAGTTAAACATAGTTTCTGTAACGCTAGTGAAAATATAGGTTCGGTAAACTCTAATGAAAATACAAGTTCGATAACTCTAGTTAAAATACAGGTCCGATAACTCTAGTTAAAGTACAGGTCCGATAACTCTAGTAAAATACAGATTCGATAACTCTAGTTAAAATAAAGGTTCGATAACTCTAGTTAAAATACAGGTTCGATAACTCTAATGAAAATACAGGTTCGATACCTCTAGTTAAAATACAGATTCAATAATTCTAGTTAAAATACAGGTCCGATAACTCTAGTTAAAATACAGGTCCGATAACTCTAGTAAAATACAGGTTCGATAACTCTAGTTAAAATAAAGGTTCGATAACTCTAGTTCAAATACAGGTCCGATAACTCTAGTTAAAATACAGGTCCGATAACTCTAGTAAAATACAGGTTCGATAACTCTAGTTAAAATAAAGGTTCGATAACTCTAGTTAAAATACAGGTTCGATAACTCTAGTTAAAATACAGGTTCGATAACTCTAGTAAAATACAGGTCCGGTAACTCTTGTTTGAAATATTCTCTGATCAAAACGAAACGAACAATGTATTCCGCAGGGACAGCACGACTCATGAGACAGCAGAAGATGAAACACAGAGGATGGCGCCCTACCACCGTCGCACCCCCTCTCCGTGAGTAGGGCGTTAGTCTGTGGGGGGGGGGGGGGGCAGATGGACAGATAGTTGTTTAAGGGTGGTGGGAGAATTTTATAAGGAGTGTTTAGGGGCGGTGGTGGAATATTTTATAGTGGGTGTTTAGGGGCGGTGGGGGAGTATTTATAAGGGGTGTTTAGGGATGGTGGGGGAGTATTTTATAAGGGGTGTTTAGGGGCGGTGGGGGAGTATTTATAAGGGGTGTTTAGGGGCAGTGGGGGAGTATTTTATAAGGGGTGTTTAGGGACGGTGGGGGAGTATTTATAAGGGGTGTTTAGGGGCGGTGGGGGAGTATTTTATAAGGGGTGTTTAAGGGCGGTGGGGGAGTATTTATAAGGGGTGTTTAGGGGCGGTGGGGGAGTATTTTATAAGGGGTGTTTAGGGGCGGTGGGGGAGTATTTTATAGTGGGTGTTTAGGGGCGGTGGGGGAGTATTTATAAGGGGTGTTTAGGGGCGGTGGGGGAGTATTTTATAAGGGGTGTTTAGGGACGGTGGGGGAGTATTTATAAGGGGTGTTTAGGGGCGATGGGGGAGTATTTATAAGGGGTGTTTAGGGACGGTGGGGGAGTATTTATAAGGGGTGTTTAGGGGCGGTGGGGGAGTATTTATAAGGGGTGTTTAGGGACGGTGGGGGAGTATTTATAAGGGGTGTTTAGGGACGGTGGGGGGGTATTTTATAAGGGGTGTTTAGGGGCGGTGGGGGAGTATTTATAAGGGGTGTTTAGGGGCGGTGGGGGAGTATTTATAAGGGGTGTTTAAGCATGACGGGTTAAACCCATGAACGACAACGAGCACAGTCCTGGTTTCATTCAAATGTAGAAGTTTTGATATTTTTTCTGGCTTCAGTACTTTTATTCAACTGGGACCGACGTACATCTTCTAGAAATCTGCCCATTTTGTCCTGTCATAAAAATGATGTCTTGACTTTGAATGTAGTCACTAAAGTCTTGACCTTGAAATTAATGTCTTGACCTTGAATGTGATCACTAAAGTAACGACCTTGAGTGACCTTGAACTAATGCTGTCGAGTTTGTTGACAGCCCTGTCCAAGAGGCTGGTTGGAGAATCTCACGCCGGAAAAAACTGGCGTGTTTACATCCGGTGTTGGGGAAAATAGAGGCCAGATCACCCCGCCGACCCAGAGGTCAGCTATTTATATACCATAATTAGGTCAATTCGTCCTTAATGAGGTCAGACACTTATAGGTCAGAGTGAAGTCAATTATTTTGAGACGTCGTTTATTTAAAGATCATAATGAGATCAATCAATTATAAGGGTAGCCCATAACTAGGTCACGCTATTGTACCTTTTCTCGTCCACATCACACATCTATCCGCCCCTATCCTTGGCATTGTATTAAGGCTACATCAAGACCATAATAAGATCAAATTAGTAATTGAAGAGATAATATTTTAAAATAGTTCAAATCCTCATGCGACTGCTAACCGAGAGTCTCGAGTTCAGAGCGCGAGCACGAGTCCACCCAGCTATAATGGGTACCTGGCAAACATTAGAAAAAAGAAAAGGCGGATTGAGATAGATCACACCACACGATCCCTTTCATATGCCAGGGCCATTGTAACAGGTGAACTCTACTTCACCTGGCATATTGCCCATAAGGTCCAAAATGGTACTTTTTATACGTTAGGTCAGATATTTAAACATTAGGTCAGATATTTAAACATTAGGTCAGATATTTAACCATTAGGTTAGGTATTTAAACATTAGGTCAGATATTTAAACGTTAGGTCAGATATTTAAACATTAGGTCAGATATTTAAACATTAGGTCAGATATTTAAACGTTAGGTCAGATATTTAAACATTAGGTCAGATATTTAAACATTAGGTCAGATATTTAAACGTTAGGTCAGATATTTAAACTTTAGGTCAGATATTTAAACATTAGGTCAGATATTTAAACGTTAGGTCAGATATTTAAACGTTAGGTCAGATATTTAAACATTAGGTCAGATATTAAAACATTAGGTCAGATATTTAAACGTTAGGTCAGATATTTAACCGTTAGGTCAGATATTTAAAAATTAGGTCAGATATTTAAAAATTAGGTCAGATATTTAAACATTAGGTCAGATATTTAAAAATTAGGTCAGATATTTAAAAATTAGGTCAGATATTTAAAAATTAGGTCAGATATTTAAACATTAAGTCAGATATTTAAACATTAGGTCAGATATTTAAAAATTAGGTCAGATATTTAAACATTAGGTCAGATATTTAAAAATTAGGTCAGATATTTAAACATTAGGTCAGATATTTAAACATTAGGTCAGATATCTTATAAATTGTGTGTGTTCTCGTCACGTGCCCCATGTTACCACGTGCTTGTGTTGCTATCACGTGACAGAGTCTGGCGACTGGTGGCAGAGTCAGGGCTTCGTGCAGGAGAGCCTCTACGACCACGAGTGCTACAGCCGCCACAACGACGATGAGGTGGAGGGGTTCGACCCCGAGAACCCCATCCTGTCCCCCCGCAGCTATCTGAGCCGCAACCCCCCTTACGGCTGTAAGCAGGGGTTTTATTTCGGGTTCAAAGTTCATTTAGAGTTTCTGTGTTCGTTTTCAAATTATTTTTCTTTTAATAAACTTTGGTAGGTTTCACAATTAGTTTTGTATAACAATTAGTTATTTATAACAATTTATTTTGTATAATAATTAGTTTAATAAATAATTAGCTTTGTATAACAAATAGTTTGTATAACAATTAGTATTGTATAACAATTTGTTTTGTATAAAAACTAGTTTTGTTTAGCAATTAGTTTTGTATAACAATTAGTTCTTTATAACAATTAGCTTTGTATAAAATAAGTTTGTATAACAATTAGTTTTGTATAATAATTAGTTATTTATAACAATTAGCTTTGTATAAAATAAGTTTGTGTAACAATTAGTTTTGTATAACAATTAGTTATCTATAACAATTAGCTTTGTATAAAATAAGTTTGTATAACAATTAGTTTTGTCACAACTACCGTGTGTGTTTCTATCCTCAGCTCGCATTAAGCTGATCAGGCACCGCAACGAAAAGGAGATGAGGAAACAGCGGAGAATAACGAAGATAGAGAAGCTTGACTCAGGCACACAGACATCCGCGCCACATGACCCCAACGACCCCGACTCCCCCGACACGACGATGACGGACCTAACGGCCGCCCAGCAACGATACTCCGGTCTGCAGGTCAAGAGTTCTCACAAAGTCAATAAAAAGTCGTCAAAATCCGGGAATGAAAAGTCCGCTAAGAAAACAGTTTCTACGGGGAGTGCCAATCTTGTTTCCACGGGGAGTGCCAATGTTAAAGAAGTTCAAGGTCACGGTCATACAGGTCGGGCTAAGTCTAGTTTCAAAAAAAGGAAATGGTCAGGGAAAGGGCCGAGAACGAAAGTAGCCTCAAGACATTACACACCCAGGCAGCGGCCGGTTTTAGACAAACCATTAACTGAAGAAACCGGGATTGTGTCTACCACAAGCTCCGCCCACGGCGTACTGGAGGAAGCTTCCAGTTTAAATCTGACCCGGCAGTCGACAGGTCAGCTGGGCATTCTGCAGACGATGCTGGAAGAGCTAAAGGAGAACGACGCGGCGCCGGCTCGCGGCACCATCAGTGACATCTTCGAGCAAGACAACACATCTTCCACCAACACAGTAGACCAGGTCACCGGTGTCGACCCATCTTCCGGCTCCATGTTTAAATCTCCCAGCGAACTACATAGAAAAGGTGTTTCTTTCACTGCCTTACATTTCGACAAGAAAGATCTCGATGTTATTGAAGATGTAGACAGATTAGACACGCTTGATGACGTCAGCCAAAGCGTTTATGGCAAGTCTCCAGAAGGCGGGAAACTTGTCGTGTCTCAGAACGTCTACGAAGACAGTCTGTGCAAAGCAGACGTCGATGAGGAGCAGCTGGAGAACCAGCCGACGTCGAGTTCCATCCAGCTGACGGCTGGCACCAGTCTAGACTCCACCAGCACCAGGAATGTCGACAACGAGGTCACGACGGCGGAGATTAAGGCGGTGACCACACACGTCATCTCCAACTTCATCGACTCCATCACGGGCGTCATGCTTGATGACTCAAACACGGGCGTCATGTTAGATGACTCCCACATGAAGCTGGCGTCCACGCTCACGTATGACTCCCGAGCCGAGACTCAGGAACACGCGCTAGAAGAGGCCGCACCTGCCGAAAACGAGGCCATACCTGTCGAAAACGAGGCTATACCTGTCGAAAACGAGGCTATACCTGTCGAAAACGAGGCTATACCTGTCGAAAACGAGGTTTCAGAAAACGAGGTTAACGATAATGAGGCTACAACTTTCAAAAACGAGGCTGATGCAAATGACTCTAATGCAAATGAAAATCAGTCTTCTGCCATCGAGGCTGAGATTTGTGCTAACGAGATCGAGATTAACGATAATCCCATTTCTTTAAGCCAGAACGAATTTAATGAGGAAGGGGCTTCATGTTTCGATAGCGAGGCTAAAGAGACCGAGACTTCAGCAGATGAGAGCCAGTCGTCTGTCAGCGAGAATCAGAGCTACAACACTTCTAACGATAGCAAGACCGCTGTAAATAAAGAAGTTGTTTTAGAGGAAGAAGACGAGCCAGTTGAAAACGAGAGCAAGGTTTTGGTGAGAGACAAGCGAACCATCGCTACAACTGCTGACAGACAACCCTCGCAGTCCTCCGTGTACGAGAACGAGGCGACGACCGCCAACATCGACACCATAGAAAACACGGAATACAAGCCAGATGACGACACAAACAACAACACCATCACCAACGGGTCGCCTAGCAACGAAGAGGAGCTCACGGTACTTCCTGTCATTGTTGATAGCACTCTCAAAGACAGCAACACTTTGAGGATGAGTAACGACGGCTTGAATAGCCGTACCACGCAGGATTGCTTGGACTCTATTGAGTTGAGCAGTATCAAGAGTGACGTAGAAACAGAATCAGTGAGTAGCGATACGTTTAGTTCTAAATATAGCTCAATGCTGGACTTTGAGACAACCCGTAGCGATACAAATATTTCACAAAGCAGTCTCTCGACGTCCTCGTTCTTTGATGTGCTCAAAGCTAAAACAATGACGCTGTCAAGTCTAGAAAAATATAGACAGAAATTAGACCACAAAGTGGAGCGTTTGCTGCCGAAGCTTCCATCAACGCTGCTAGCGAAAGCTCCGCGGAAAGACGTCGTTCTGCCCCCGATCTTAGCACAAAGTGTGTCGCTATCAGACAGGAGCAGCAGTTTAAAATCATCCCCGACTTTTGTAGGTCAAAAGGGGAGCAAACTACCTTGTTTTTCATCTGACGAAAGCCCGAAGATGTCACCGTATCGTGCTGGTGCTTTAAGACCCTTAAGGAACACATGCGGTTTGGGGAGGGGAGGGACAAGTTTGGAGCCAGGACAAAAGTCTAGAACAAACTGCGCATCCTCCCTGCCTGCTGGTTTAACTCGACTGGCGCCCCACAGAACCTCAACGCCCCTGCCCAGTTCGACTTACGCCCTGGGGGCGCCATCAATGAGGCTGGAGAGGGTGGAGAGTCAGTCCTCAATTAGCGAGGCGAGTCTGCCAGAAAGCCGAGTCAGCAAGTTCCGAGAGAAAGTTCTCCAGCACAGATCGGCCCAGAAGAAACAGCCGCTGCCGCCGTTGAAGATCAGGACAAGCGTCAAGTTGACTGACGGGTCGGACACGACGGGATCCAGTGAAGACAAGGAGTCGCCCCTGGGGAGTTAGTTGTCTCGCCCCTGAGGAGTTAGTTGTCTCGCCCCTGGGGAGTTAGTTGTCTCGCCCCTGGGGAGTTAGTTGTCTCGCCCCTGGGGAGTTAGTTGCCTCGCCTGGTTTGTTAGCTGGACAGTCCCGCTGTGACAACTGATGTAAACTTTGGTGCTGTCATTGGACAGCTACAAGGGTGACCGCTGCTTACTTTGTGCTGTCAGACAGCTAGAAGAGTGACCAGTGCAGCGCCTAATATTTAACCCCAATGTCAAGGTCTGTCTCTGCATAAAACGCCTTTGATGAATTGGAAAATTGTGGTTGAAAAATCAAATGTGAGAAAAACGAAAATAATAAGTGCATTGGTCTAAAGACAGTGTAAGCCTCAATAGAGGCGTAGCAACCCTTTCCAGCACCTAGGGCGAACTATATTTTGCAACCCCCACCCTCATTTATACTTATTTACGTTGGCGAAAAAATCCCCCCCCCCCCTACATTTTGAAGTGTCGGGGGCTGTTTTCACCAGCCATTGTCCCTCAATGTTTTGGTGTCACACAATTGATGTAGAAATGTGCCAATGATGTTCAGAATAAGTTTTTCTACCCTGTTTGGCGCCACCACTATGTCTGCGCCCGGGGCAGCCGCCCCCCCACCCCCCCCCCCCCCCCCTTGCTACGCCTCTGAACTTAGAGCAAATATTACAACCGCACCTAAAAATGCATTACCTTATTTGTCTAATGAATGTATGTCGAGGCTAATAATTTTGTCAAGCTTATTTAAATATTTCCTAATATAATTTTTTTTTATGTATGATCCTTACGTTTGGCTGAAATTTCAGAACATTCTAGCGAAAACTAAGGAGACGAAAATTATTGAATTTAAAAATACTGAGTGAAGTCCGGGTTTATGCCTTTGAGAAACACAAAACCAGTGGTTCTTCATTTGTCATAGGGCAGTTCGTCGGGTCATCTTTTATGTCAGCTGGTCAAGTAGACATTTGTGGGGCAGTTGGTCAAGTAGACATTTGGGGCAGTTGGTCGAGTAGACATTTGGGGCAGTTGGTCAAGTAGACATTTGGGGGGCAGTTGGTCAAGTAGACATTTGGGGCAGTTGGTCGAGTAGACATTTGGGGCAGTTGGTCAAGTAGACATTTGGGGGGCAGTTGGTCAAGCAGACATTTGGGGCAGTTGGTCAAGTAGACATTTGGGGCAGTTGGTCAATGAGACATTTAAGACAGTTGGTCAATGAGACATTTAAGACAGTTGGTCAAGTAGAGATTTGGGGCAGTTGGTCGAGTAGACATTTGGAGCAGTTGGTCAAGTAGACATTTAGGGGCAGTTGGTCAAATAGACATTCAGGACTTAGGACAGTTGGTCAAGTTGACATTTAGGACAGTTGGTCAAGAAACCTACACAAGATTGTTTATAAACTGGCATGAACCTAGCAAGGTTTACATGATCACCATATAATACTTTTAGCACATATAAACCACACTGTAAGCCTTTGTAGCAAGCTGAGTAACCCGATTTTTTAAAGCTGAAAATGGCATGATAAAATTATTCCAAATCTAAACTATTTTTAATGTTTTATGTATATCACCAATGGTGCTTTTAAAATACTTTAATATACTTTGTTATTTGTTTTTTAATTTAGTATATAGTAGTCTATTACTATTAGACTTTTTGACTATTTCTATGTATATGCTTTCTGTAATGGCGAACACGTTCTAAATAAAATGTAATAAAGTTTTATTCATTTGAATTCAAGTTTCGGCGTTTACTTCCTGGTGTATTGGACAACAAATACAACACATTAAGCTTATTAGGTGTTTCAACAGGCCCAAATAACGCCCGGGCAAAAGCACAAAGGCCTGTTTCAGATTATTTTTTTCCGTTGCTGAACCTTATTCGTATGTTTAAAATTGCTGGGGTAAAAAAACGCCGTCTTAAATACACAAACACCGGATTCATCTACCGGAAATTTATTAGCCAATGGTCGTAATGGACGCCTTAAGAGCTCTCGCCTGGCAACTCGATAGCATCAAAATGGCTGACATTTAAAGACAAGCCTACGTGTTGTTGTTTTTTAAGTAAACAAACACAGTAGTGTTTTTGTAATACACTTTGTAAAAAGTGAGTTTGTTTGAAACAGGTTCTATATTTTAATGGTACATAGAATAATAATCAAAATCAGCTTTAATCAGTTTTAATCATTTTTATTTTGGTTGTTAAACTCCGACTAACTCAGTGTATTAAAAATAATTTAATGAGGGCTGTAGACTGTAGAGTGTAGAGAGTACTAGAGAGTCTACCCTATAATACTAAAGTATAATAACTGACTAGTTAGCAGATCTAGGTTTTAAGTAAAAATAAATGTGTACTCAGTACGTCATGTAGCAAGCATAGCCTAAAAATACTAAATAGTAAATACTAAACTAATATAAATCTCTAGGTGTAATCTAGATTCTAGATTAGTTAGCAACTTAAAATAAGTGCAGAAAGGTTAATAAAAAAAGGTTTATGAACACAAATCTTGGCTGGGTTATTTTATAACTGGGATTAGCATAGGATAAAGGACTGGGATAGAATATCATTTAATTCTTAATTTGTATGTCGCCACAGTCTGTTGTACTTAATTAAAGTCCACTCACTAAATAGTAGTAGTAGTAGTAGTAGTAAATACAAGCCTTTAAATTGTGATTACTACAGATGACAGCCATGTTGACCTGTGTGACCTACAGTTAAACAATATAATAGTGTTGACATCAATACAATTATGATATTCTTATTATCCCAGTCATTGCAAGTTAGTTATGATTATATGATTTTCACTTATATTCTCATTGCATTCACTTCTAGAGATCTACTTTAATTTATTTGTCTTATTATAGAACTTTTATTTCACTCAGACTCAAGCTTCCCTGATGAAACTAGGAAAGGAATTAGCTCACAAACGTGTGATTCCAAGTCTTAATTCTTAATTAACTGAACAGCCTATATTAAAAACTGGCAGCTACACTTTGTTAGCTGATTTAAAATCATTACTATTAAGTTATCAACCATCAACTACTAGTCAACTAATAGATAAAGTAGACAACTATGGCTGATATAAACAATGAAATTGACAAAGCAAACTGCCTACAAATTTGATTAAATTTTTGTTATTAATATTGTAAGGAACTAAATACAATGTGAAAGTTAGCCAAAACAATTAAATTTTTCTCTTCGCCACAGGGTAATGTAATTTCAGTGTAATCAAATTATATTAACCCACAACTAGCTATGGGGGGGGGGGGGGGTCTTCAAACCTTAACGAAGGGAAGTTCTGGATAACCAATTAAAGTTAGTTAGACTAAAATTAAGAATTTTTTTTTTTAAATGTTCTTCATTTTGCAGATTTTATAACATACATAGTTGGATGGAATCTCCTCCAACACAGTTAATTATTGCATGCCAACATGGTATATATGCCACATTGTATGCCAACTCTGATTTCAGCCTGGTTTTATTTCGATATTAGCTTCAATAGCCTTTGTCCATCCAAGAAAATACTTTAAGGCAGCAGTTGTTTGATTATGGAGTTTTCTGTCTAGATGGGTTGCTGTCCCTGGTATTCAAGCCTCATCTGCCCAGGGTTTGAGATTGGGACTTTTTTATTTAGCTGCCATGAACTTTAGCATGCCAACCCCAGTTTTAATGTTAAAATTTCATTTTAATTATTTATTAAAATTAATTAAGATTGATATTTTTGTAAGGGTATAGCTGCGGAGATGACAAAATCTACAAAAAAAAAATGTTTCATCCTTGTCCATCACTGTAATGTGGTCCCTCTCAGCAAACATGGCCGATTACATCAGTTCTACATTTGATAGCCTAACTAGTTTTTAAATATCGGTAGTCTAAAGACATATCAAACCTATTTTTTAAATTCATACCCCATTTTTTTTAAATATGGAAATGATTGCTTTATTCTTTTCCAAGGGTTAATTTTTTTGGTGAGGTTCAAGAATTAGTTTTGTGATTCTCTTTTAACTTAAGAGCTAGTCATTAGCCAATTTTTAATGTCACATAATGGTTTAATCATTTGCTGTTTCTATTTTTAGCTAAGGTATTTATAAAAACTAGTTGTGCCTGATAAATCCATTATAAGGTTGTGTGAGAGTCATCATATTTTTACATGAATGAAAACTGGTTAAGGTTTTGTTGGTGTATTGTTATCCCATCATTCAAATTATGTAGAGATATTTCTTTGTTAAACAGCATGCCATGACTGATGATTGTTGAGATGCAGGTTCAAGATACCATTACAAGTTTTAATTTACTATTTTGACAATATTAAGGTAACTCATGTTACATAAGAGATTGGCTTCTTACATTTTAAAAATATAACCACTGTTGAAAAAAAAATGTATCCTCAAAATTTTACAATCCAAGTAATTATTAAAATCTCCGATGGGTCTACTAAATTTAAAAGAGACATAGGACAGCATTTTTTATGTAAAACAAGTTAATCAATTCAGAGTCACCTAAGCATAATTTAAAAGTTTTATTTAAATATATCTTTTGTATTTAGTTTTTAAATTCTTTTATAATGGTTGAATTTTTTTTTTAAATATTGTTAACTCATTCATTAGGAATTAATGTAATTATTTCATTGGATTTTATTTTTAACCATCAGATCTTAGAAAGCTATATAGAAATGTCTACCGCCACTACCCCAGTCAATTCAAGTGTTACGCTTGACCCAGCCACCAGCTCAAGTTCTCCCAAGCCTACAGAATCCCAGATCAGGTTAACAACATATCACATGAATTATTACTGAAAAATTAATTTAGCTTATTTTTATGTTTTAAATTACTGAAAGATAAGATCAAAATACACTATTTGCCTATTTAAAAATTATTTACAATTTACTTTGTATACTTTTCTTGCAAAGCCTGATTTTAATTTTTGAAGAAATGTCTTTTCAGACTGTAATTTATATTAGAGAAACTCTTGTTTTCTGTTCATTCTTGTACTTAAGTTTTCAAATAAAAAAGTAAAATTTATGAGAATATTGACCTATTTCAGCCGACCACCTCAGATGGAAGGCAAACTGGAAAACAGATTGACAATCAAAGACCTTGAGAGACTTAAAAGCTCATTTATGGTAAATGTTTAGATTAATAATTGTTCAACTTTACATCAATTTAAAACCGCCTTTTAAAACAAGTTAATAAAAAGTCTAGTGACAATTTAAGCACTATTTCCTTATGTTATCCATAACAATTTTAAATCGAGATAAATCATATATTCAGCAACGGTGCCCAAATATTAAAACGTTTATATCAGTATTTGACTATGATTAAAACCCGCCCTCTTGTTTGTAAACATTAGCACGTGGAAAAAAACGAGCGACGCGTAGCTCGCCTCTCTCTCTCTTGCCGCGCTGTGACGCGAACGATCCCACGTCGCGACAGGCTAGCCTCCCGTATCAGTAAAAAAAAAAAATTTTAAAATCCTTTCAAACCTCCGCTTATTCGCTTTGGTAAAATCCTTTCGAACCTCAGCTTTGCGCTAAAAACCTACACGATGCTCTGTTTAAATGTTCTTAATTAATTTTTTGTGACCGAACGAAAGGATATTTTTGAAAACTTTCTTCAGCAATATTAATCTAAATTATGGCAGGAATCGATTGGTAAATGTTTCAAGTCGCTAAGTGGTCTGGTTGCCGAGATATGGAGCAAAAGCTGCATTTGTTCGAGGTTTTTTGGCTTTTCTGGGAAATCCAGGAAGGAATTCCGGGAATTTTTTTGGCCCACAATCATCCTTGGAACTTGCTTAACATATTTGCTTTTGGAACTAGTCCTCGATATTGCTTCGTTGAGGAGGAGATACGACTTAAGCTGCGGACATCCATCCATTCCCAGAAATGACGAGTTAATAATCGCAATTCTCCAGAATGGAAATTGCGCTAAAAAATACTGCTTGACAAATTACATATCTTACTTTTTGTTCCCTCACATAATTTTTACAATTTATTTTTAGTGACATAAGCCCTACTTCTGCTTACTTAGGATGTTTATTTTTTTTAATTTTCACTGCAGTTAATGGTTTATCTAAGGCCCTTATACATTTTGTATGTAATTCCATTCGCTTTGTAAGCTTTTACTACTAAATTTAAAGTTTACACTTAGTGACATAAGCCCTACTTCTGCTTACTTAGGATGTTTATTTTTTTAAATTTTCACTGCAGTTAATGGTTTATCTAAGGCCCTTATACATTTTGTATGTAATTCCATTTGCTTTGTAAGCTTTTACTACTAAATTTAAAGTTTACACGACTAATTTATTTATTGATGAATATCATTATTGCCCCTTCTTGATGAACATTAGTATCTCTTCTTCTAAGTAAATTATATTATTTCTGTATTCATGATGAATTGTTACTTCTCTATTCGATGTGTTCTACCATTACTTCCCCTATTTGGTGATCAATTACTTCGACTGTTTGAAGAGTTCTACCTTTTCTTCCCTATTTGATGAGTTCTACAATTACCTCCCCTATTTGAAGAGTTCTACAATTACCTCCCCTATTTGAAGAGTTCTACAATTACCTCCCCTATTTGAAGAGTTCTACTATTACTTCCCCTGTATGATCTACAATTACCTCCCCTATTTGAAGAGTTCTACTATTACTTCCCCTATTTGAAGAGTTCTATTACTTCCCCTGTATGATCTACAATTACCTCCCCTATTTGAAGAGTTCTACTATTACTTCCCCTATTTGAAGAGTTCTACTATTACTTCCCCTGTATGATTAACAATTACCTCCCCTATTTGAAGAGTTCTACAATTACCTCCCCTATTTGAAGAGTTCTACAATTACCTCCCCTATTTGAAGAGTTCTACAATTACCTCCCCTATTTGAAGAGTTCTACTATGACTCCTCAGATCCAGGGTGATGGGTACGACAACAAACTGAGCCTCAACAAAGAACAGTTCTGCGAGGCGCTCTCACTTTTACTTAAGAAAGGCACAAGAGAAGAGGTAGGCATCAGGCATAAAACTAGATCTAGTTGCTTGGGTCATCATTTATATTCTAGAGATTTCAAATTTTTCAGGATTCAGCAGTTTCATCTTTTTTTTTTTTTCTGAAACACTTGTATATATTTTGTTAATGTTCTGTTTATAAATAGATTTTTATTTCGGACCGTTTAGTTTTCACATGAATTATCAACATTATTTTAGAGGATTAATTTGAAGTTAAGTTTTCAATAAAAATATTTTCATAGTTTAACTTTTGATATCATTTCATGAATTTTGATTTATGACTTTAAATATTCAAACAACTTTTTACACATGTAACTGGGTTAGTTCAAAGGTTTTAATTTATTTTTTTCAAATTTATAATAACTAGTTTTTTAAATGCAAAATAGAGCATTTCCCCTTAACAAGATTTTTAAAAATTACCTTACTAGTAAAAAAAAATGATAATTTACTAGAAATTATTTGTCAATTTTAGTACGTTGAGCTGGTGATATTTGTCAATTTTAGTATGCTGAGCTGTTTGATAAGATGGATGTGATATTTGTCAATTTTAGTACGCTGAGCTGTTTGATAACATTGATGTGATATTTGTCAATTTTAGTACGCTGAGCTGTTTGATAAGATTGATGTGATATTTGTCAATTTTAGTACGCTGAGCTGTTTGATAAGATTGATGTGATATTTGACAATTTTAGTACGTTGAGCTGGTGATATTTGTCAATTTTAGTACGCCGAGCTGTTTGATAAGATTGATGTGATATTTGTCAATTTTAGTACGTTGAGCTGTTTGATAAGATTGATGTGATATTTGACAATTTTAGTACGTTGAGCTGGTGATATTTGTCAATTTTAGTACGCCGAGCTGTTTGATAAGATTGATGTGATATTTGTCAATTTTAGTACGTTGAGCTGTTTGATAAGATTGATGTGATATTTGACAATTTTAGTACGTTGAGCTGGTGATATTTGTCAATTTTAGTACGCCGAGCTGTTTGATAAGATTGATGTGATATTTGTCAATTTTAGTACGTTGAGCTGGTGATATTTGTCAATTTTAGTACGCTGAGCTGTTTGATAAGATTGATGTGACAAGGGAAGGAACTGTAGACTGGGACAGTATTGCCTCCCTTATGTTGCTGGAATTGTATGAGAGAGATGACAGGGTAAAGTCTACACAGGTCCCGCAGTGGAAGGACATCAGGATGTTACCCAGGTAAGTTACAGTGGTAGGACATCAGGATGTTACCCAGGTAAGTTACAGTGGTAGGACATCAGGATGTTACCCAGGTAAGTTACATTGGTAGGACATCAGGATGTTACCCAGGTAAGTTACAGTGGTAGGACATCAGGATGTTACCCAGGTAAGTTACAGTGGTAGGACATCAGGATGTTACCCAGGTAAATTACAGTGGAAGGACATCAGGATGTTACCCAGGTAAGTTACAGTGGTAGGACATCAGGATGTTACCCAGGTAAATTACAGTGGTAGGACATCAGGATGTTACCCAGGTAAGTTACAGTGGTAGGACATCAGGATGTTACCCAGGTAAGTTACAGTGGTAGGACATCAGGATGTTACCCAGGTAAATTACAGTGGAAGGACATCAGGATGTTACCCAGGTAAGTTACAGTGGTAGGACATCAGGATGTTACCCAGGTAAGTTACAGTGGTAGGACATCAGGATGTTACCCAGGTAAATTACAGTGGTAGGACATCAGGATGTTACCCCAGTGGTAGGACATCAGGATGTTACCCCAGTGGTAGGACATCAGGATGTTACCCAGGTAAGTTACAGTGGTAGGACATCAGGATGTTACCCAGGTAAGTTACAGCGGTAGGACATCAGGATGTTACCCAGGTAAGTTACAGTGGTAGGACATCAGGATGTTACCCAGGTAAGTTACAGCGGTAGGACATCAGGATGTTACCCAGGTAAGTTACAGTGTAACATCAGGATGTTACCCAGGTAAGTTACAGTGTAACATCAGGATGTTACCCAGGTAAGTTACAGTGGTAGGACATCAGGATGTTACCCAGGTAAGTTACAGTGGTAGGACATCAGGATGTTACCCAGGTAAGTTACAGTGGAAGGACATCAGGATGTTACCCAGGTAAGTTACAGTGGTAGGACATCAGGATGTTACCCAGGTAAGTTACAGTGGTAGGACATCAGGATGTTACCCAGGTAAGTTACAGCGGTAGGACATCAGGATGTTACCCAGGTAAGTTACAGTGGTAGGACATCAGGATGTTACCCAGGTAAGTTACAGTGGTAGGACATCAGGATGTTACCCAGGTAAGTTACAGTGGTAGGACATCAGGATGTTACCCAGGTAAGTTACAGTGGTAGGACATCAGGATGTTACCCAGGTAAGTTACAGTGGAAGGACATCAGGATGTTACCCAGGTAAGTTACAGTGGTAGGACATCAGGATGTTACCCAGGTAAGTTACAGTGGTAGGACATCAGGATGTTACCCAGGTAAGTTACAGCGGTAGGACATCAGGATGTTACCCAGGTAAGTTACAGTGGTAGGACATCAGGATGTTACCCAGGTAAGTTACAGTGGTAGGACATCAGGATGTTACCCAGGTAAGTTACAGTGGTAGGACATCTGGTAGGACATCAGGATGTTACCCAGGTAAGTTACATTGGTAGGACATCAGGATGTTACCCAGGTAAGTTACAGTGTAACATCAGGATGTTACCCAGGTAAGTTACAGTAGAAGGACATCAGGATGTAACCCAGGTAAGTTACAGTGGTAGGACATCAGGATGTTACCCAGGTAAGTTACAGTGGTAGGACATCTGGTAGGACATCAGGATGTTACCCCAGTGGTAGGACATCAGGATGTTACCCAGGTAAGTTACAGTGGTAGGACATCAGGATGTTACCCAGGTAAGTTACAGTGGTAGGACATCAGGATGTTACCCCAGTGGTAGGACATCAGGATGTTACCCAGGTAAGTTACAGTGGTAGGACACCAGGATGTTACCCCAGTGGTAGGACATCAGGATGTTACACAGGTAAGTTACAGTGGTAGGACATCAGGATGTTACCCCAGTGGTAGGACATCAGGATGTTACCCAGGTAAGCTTAAAGGGCATTTAAAAGCTTGTTATTTTAAAGATATTTAAACTTTTATATTTATAAAATCATATCTTGCTTGTTCAAGTTTCTTGCTTTTTATATCATATCATAGTAAAGTACTATTTTACCAGAAATCTTCAAACTATTTTATGTGTCAAGTTTTAATGTACATACAATATCTTATGTATCACATTCTAATGTTCGTACATTATCTTATGTATCACGCTCTAATGTACCTACAATATCTTTCTATTTTTTTTTACCAGTCCTCATAAAGATACTGTACAGAAATTTGCTTACATGAAGAACACAAACAGATACATAGCCATTAGCAAGGTAAGCAGATATACTACATCAAACAGATACATAGCCATTAGCAAGGTAAGCAGATATACTACATCAAACAGATACATAGCCATTAGCGAGGTAAGCAGATATACTACATCAAACAGATACATAGCCATTAGCAAGGTAAGCAGATATACTACATCAAACAGATACATAGCCATTAGCAAGGTAAGCAGATATACTACATCAAACAGATACATAGCCATTAGCAAGGTTAGCAGATATACTACATCAAACAGATACATAGCCATTAGCAAGGTAAGCAGATATACTACATCAAACAGATACATAGCCATTAGCAAGGTAAGCAGATATACTACATCAAACAGATACATAGCCATTAGCAAGGTTAGCAGATATACTACATCAAACAGATACATAGCCATTTGCAAGGTAAGCAGATATACTACATCAAACAGATACATAGCCATTAGCGAGGTAAGCAGATAAACTAAATATTTAACTCTAGTAGTGCTCAAAACAATCTGGTTAATGTAAGTTACAATGAATTCAAATAATCAAAACAATTTGGTTGATGTAAGTTACAATGAATTCAAATAATCAAAACAATTTGGTTAGTGTAAGTTACAATGAATTCAAATAATCAAAACAATTTGGTTAATGTAAGTTACAATGAATTCAAATAATCAAAACAATTTGGTTAGTGTAAGTTACAATGAATTCAAATAATCAAAACAATTTGGTTAATGTAAGTTACAATGAATTCAAATAATCAAAACAATTTGGTTAATGTAAGTTACAATGAATTCAAATAATCAAAACAATTTGGTTAATGTAAGTTACAATGAATTCAAATAATCAAAACAATTTGGTTAATGTAAGTTACAAGAATTCAAATAATCAAAACAATTTGGTTGATGTAAGTTACAATGAATTCAAATAATCAAAACAATTTGGTTAGTGTAAGTTACAATGAATTCAAATAATAAAAACAATTTGGTTAGTGTAAGTTACAATGAATTCAAATAATCAAAACAATTTGGTTAGTGTAAGTTACAATGAATTCAAATAATCAAAACAATTTGGTTAATGTAAGTTACAATGAATTCAAATAATCAAAACAATTTGGTTAATGTAAGTTACAATGAATTCAAATAATCAAAACAATTTGGTTAGTGTAAGTTACAATGAATTCAAATAATCAAAACAATTTGGTTAATGTAAGTTACAATGAATTCAAATAATCAAAACAATTTGGTTAATGTAAGTTACAATGAATTCAAATAATCAAAACAATTTGGTTAATGTAAGTTACAATGAATTCAAATAATCAAAACAATTTGGTTAATGTAAGTTACAATGAATTCAAATAATCAAAACAATTTGGTTAGTGTAAGTTACAATGAATTCAAATAATCAAAACAATTTGGTTAATGTAAGTTACAATGAATTCAAATAATCAAAACAATTTGGTTAGTGTAAGTTACAATGAATTCAAATAATCAAAACAATTTGGTTAATGTAAGTTACAATGAATTCAAATAATCAAAACAATTTGGTTAATGTAAGTTACAATGAATTCAAATAATCAAAACAATTTGGTTAATGTAAGTTACAATGAATTCAAATAATCAAAACAATTTGGTTAATGTAAGTTACAATGAATTCAAATAATCAAAACAATTTGGTTAATGTAAGTTACAATGAATTCAAATAATCAAAACAATTTGGTTAGTGTAAGTTACAATGAATTCAAATAATCAAAACAATTTGGTTAGTGTAAGTTACAACGAATTCAAATAATCAAAACAATTTGGTTAGTGTAAGTTACAATGAATTCAAATAATCAAAACAATTTGGTTAATGTAAGTTACAATGAATTCAAATAATCAAAACAATTTGGTTAGTGTAAGTTACAATGAATTCAAATAATCAAAACAATTTGGTTAATGTAAGTTACAATGAATTCAAATAATCAAAACAATTTGGTTAATGTAAGTTACAATGAATTCAAATAATCAAAACAATTTGGTTAATGTAAGTTACAATGAATTCAAATAATCAAAACAATTTGGTTAATGTAAGTTACAATGAATTCAAATAATCAAAACAATTTGGTTAGTGTAAGTTACAATGAATTGAAATAATCAAAACAATTTGGTTGATGCAAGTTACAATGAATTCAAATAATCAAGCTCCATTCCCAGACACTCTAACAACCTCGATACTTATGTTAACAATCATTCGCAATCACTCAATCAATCAGATCTTTATGATAGCAATCATTCACTACTACTCAAACAATCCCACTTTTAAGGTAGCACTAATTTACTATTAGTCAATCAATCAATCTCAACTTTACGAAACCAACCATCAATTACCACTCAGTAAATCATTACATTTTACTAACTACACAAACCTGAAGCAAAGTGCAATTCTTTTTTTGGGTATGTTGTTTATTGACGCTATAGAGACAAGAATTTTAAAAACTCTGTTGCACCATTGACAGGAGGGGTGTGTCTCCATGTGGGGGGCGGACCTGAAACCCCAGAGGTCACTCAAGACGGGAACAGACGCCTGTAGGTCAAGGGACATCTGGGTCACCCACTTCGTCCCGCTACAGAATGTCAACAAGATCGCACTGGCTTTTACCAGCAAAGAGATAGGTACAAATGTTACTTCCAAATTACCTGTCAGGTATGAATGTTACTTCCAAATTACCTGTCAGGTATGAATGTTACTTCCAAATTACCTGTCAGGTATGAATGTTACTTCCAAATTACCTGTCAGGTATGAATGTTACTTCCAAATTACCTGTCAGGTATGAATGTTACTTCCAAATTACCTGTCAGGTATGAATGTTACTTCCAAATTATCTGTCAGGTATGAATGTTACTTCCAAATTACCTGTCAGGTATGAATGTTATTTCCAAATTACCTGTCAGGTATGAATGTTATTTCCAAATTACCTGTCAGGTATGAATGTTACTTCCAAATTACATTTACGTCACAAATATTATGTCTGGCTTACTTCTCACATTCAAAGATTATGTATAGATTACCTGTCTTTTATAAATACTACTTCTGGGTTACCTGACAGGTCAAGAAATTATTCCTGGTTTACCTGTGAGCTAGGCCTACTTATACAGAGATACCCAATTCCTGGTTTACCTGTGAGCTAGGCCTACTTATACAGAGATACCTAATTCCTGGTTTACCTGTGAGCTAGGCCTACTTATACAGAGATACCTAATTCCTGGTTTACCATTGAGCTAGGCCTACTTATACAGAGATACCTAATTCCTGGTTTACCTGTGTGGTAGGCCTACTTATACAGAGATACCTAATTCATTTTATTTTTATTTTCTGCCTCCAGCTATTTATGACCTTAGCAGTAAACTAGAGTTCAGCTGCCAGTTCAAAGTTCAAGGTCTTAACTACACTCCATTGTGCTTGGACTACTGGTAAAACTTTTTCTGTAGAACTCATTTATTTAGTTGTATATTTTTTTTTTACGAGATTTTATTTTACATATCCATTGTAACTCTTCAGCACTGTAAAAAAAAAGTTATTTAAGTTAGTCTGTATTTGTCTGTTAGAGGAACTTATCAGATTATATTAAGTGACATTTAAACAACCACACAAAAAAAAACATGAAGTATTTATCATGTATGGGTTATTTCAAATCCTTTCTCAACCAATATCATATATTTTTTAAAATTATTTCTTTGACACAAAGTTTGCAAATAATGAAAATGATTTCACATTCAAATAATTGTTCAAATCCTTGTAGGTACAGCCCAAACAATGTCAATGATGCCACTTTGGTGTGGGGAGATGTCGGAGGCTTCGTGAACATTCTGTTTTTCAACTCTGTCAGCATCGCGTTGTTTGAGAGACCTCCTGCTCCCCCTGGGGAGAAACAAGGTACACCACTCTGTTTTCAAGTGTAGCTTGTAGCCTATAAAGGGACACTACTGTGTTTTAAAATGTAGCTTGTAACAAGGGACATTACTCTTTTTTATAGTGAAACTTGAAGCTTTAGCATGTTGACAGGTTGTTGTGATAAACTAACAAGACTTGATTTTGAGCATTGATAGATTTTAGAATTCTTAAAGCTTTGCAAAAAAGTTTTAATTATCCACTATTATAGAACAATAATGTAAAACGTGTTTTGTGAAAGTTTACAAAATTTAGTCATTAATTTAACACTTAATTGCACTTTTTAAAATGCCTGACTTAAAAAAGAATTACAAGCAATGCTATTGTCGACAATTAAAAGTAATTGTATATTTTATTTGTTGACTAATATAATAATTTAAATAGACTGTGGGAAGAGATGTAATCACTACATGATTGCTATGTTATATTTAAATGATATAACTTTTAGTTTTGGTTAGCAAAACTAAAAAATGTCAAATTTGATGGAGAAATAACGCAAGTTTTTCCTGCTAAGATTGTTTGAGCATGCTGTTATGTGGTAAAGATATGTTACTGCATGTCTTGATTTGGTGGTGGACCCTCGGAATATGTTTACATGCATGCTCAGTTTTATAACAGCTTTATGTCAAAGGTGATGGCATCCATATCAGTCATGGTGTCATACAAGTAGAGGGAGGGTTGCCACACAGCATATTATGGTTTGAGTTTAAAGCAAATGCACGGTTCAATGGTGCACCATGCCACGCCCCTCCTGACCCCACCCCTCCCACAAGTGCAATGGTGCCCCTTCTTCCCCCCCCCCCCCTCCTGACCCCACCCCTCCCACAAGTGCAATGGTGCACCATGCCACGCCCCTCCTGACCCCACCCCTCCCACAAGTGCAATGGTGCCCCTTCTTCCCCCCCCCCCCTCCTGACCCCACCCCTCCCACAAGTGCAATGGTGCCCCATGCCACGCCCCTCCTGACCCCACCCCCTCCCACAAGTGCAATGGTGCCCCATGCCACGCCCCTCCTGACCCCACCCCCTCCCACAAGTGCAATGGTGCCCCATGCCACGCCCCTCCTGACCCCACCCCCTCCCACAAGTGCAATGGTGCCCCATGCCACGCCCCTCCTGACCCCACCCCCTCCCACAAGTGCAATGGTGCCCCATGCCACGCCCCTCCTGACCCCACCCCCTCCCACAAGTGCAATGGTGCCCCATGCCACGCCCCTCCTGACCCCACCCCCTCCCACAAGTGCAATGGTGCCCCATGCCACGCCCCTCCTGACCCCACCCCCTCCCACAAGTGCAATGGTGCCCCATGCCACGCCCCTCCTGACCCCACCCCCTCCCACAAGTGCAATGGTGCCCCATGCCACGCCCCTCCTGACCCCACCCCCTCCCACAAGTGCAATGGTGCCCCATGCCACGCCCCTCCTGAACCCTCCCCCTCCCACAGTACAATGGTGCCCCATGCCACGCCCCTCCTGAACCCTCCCCCTCCCACAGTACAATGGTGCCCCATGCCACGCCCCTCCTGAACCCTCCCCCTCCCACAGTACAATGGTGCCCCATGCTTCCCCCCCCATCCTGACCCCCACCCCCTCCCCCAGTGCAATAGTTTCCCATGCTTCCCCCCATCCTGACCCCTCCCCCTCCCATAAGTGCAATGATTGATGTCACATATTTTCATTAGCTAGCTGATTGACAGTATTGTTTGTTTTTATTTTGTTCTCTTGTTCCAGCATGCACTAGTAATACAAGTTTTAAAATTAACCCATGAAATGCTGATATAAAATGATTTTACTTTACTTGTCTGTTTATTCTATAAACAGTTTGGGAGCGTGAGTCATTTATTAACTTTTTCCCCTTTTTTTTTCAATCAACTTTATTCAGGTTAAGTTTTTTTTTTTTTTAATTAGTTTTAATTGTTTGGAGCTTGTAGATCACATTTATTTATAAATTAGTCTGCAGTTTTTATGCACAGTTTTTATTAACTATTTGATTAGGTTTAGCTAAGTAAGTTACTCAGGGGCTTAAATTGATTTTCTGGGCTTTTTTTAATCTAATAATCCATAAAAAGCTCACACAAAATTTTTAATTTAATTGATTTTTAGACATTGTTTTTTGGTAGCAATTTTACATAAATAATCATTATTTTTACTCTGTTTTACATATTTTAAAAAATTATTGTTATAACTATTATTTAGAATTTAGGGATTTTGTTAATTTCTAATCAAATTTACTGTATTTTCGTCATTCATCCCATAATTTATTGTCTCAAGATGCTTAAGCTCCTCTTATTTAATGCCATGTTATATATTGACTAATGAAACTTTGTTAAGTTTTAAGTTAGATTAGTGTTAGTTCAACCAACAGCTGTTTAAAGCTTTATCATTTGTTGACAAACTGTTCAATCATGAAGTGTCACAACTATAATGTGACATTGGCTTAAAATATTTTTTGACAAATGCTACATATGGTTTTAGGCTAATATAGTTACATGCATTTTAAAAGAATTTTAAAATTATATTACTTATGTATGATTAGTAGCAATGTTATTGTTAATATGTTAATTATCATTTTTCTAATTTTTTGATACTTTAGATAAAGTTTTTGGTACATTTCAACTTAATAAAAATTAGCATGATCTTAGGTCTATGCTTTAATAAAGCAAAAATTGTAATTAAAACTTGAACCCCAATCAATTAAGCAAGTTTTACAATGGTAGCTAATGTTGTATTCTTTACAATCCTGATGAAGACCTTAGACTGAAGCATTGTCGTGCTGTTTGGTTTAAGCAGTGCCAGCGCCCTAGGCAAAACTTTTTAAAACGCCCCCTTTCACATTAATTAATTCCTAAAAACAAATCCCCCTCCCCCCTTTAGAAAAATTCAAATATGAAAAAGACACTTAATGATTTAGGTAATTAATTTGCGACTAAGACGATTTTAGACCAGGGGTCGGCAACCTTTTGAGACAGAAGAGCCAAAATTACAATTTACAAAATTTATCAGTTTTTAAAGAGCCACATTATTATTTCAACATTTTGGTATTTGATTAGGATTAGGTAAATAAATTTGATTTGTCATTTAAAATAAATAGCTTTTTCTATGAAATAATATTTATTCATTTAAAAACATACACATGTTTTGCCAGAATAATAAACTGAGTAATCAAATAATATAACCATAGGACTATCCCTATCCCAATCTTCTTTAGAAGCTGTTAGCTTTTCTTTTTCTTTGTCTATCAACATGAACTGTTCAGGAGGTGTCTGCCATTAGCCAGGCAGGCCTCAACAAACTCTGACCAACTGGCTTGGATATCGGTTTGATTACCGTGTATCGGTCACTTCTGTCCTTTTGTTCTCACCAGGCTTATCTTCCATCCCACAGAGCCCAGGGTAAACTCGCACCCCACCATCCAGTACCCGGCTCAACAGTAGGAAGCTAATAACTAAAAAAACTCTGTCACTCACGTCAAATTAAGGTTTACTGACAGATAGGGAAATGCAATCAGAATAAAATTACATTCCAAATTTAATGATATTCGAAAAAGTCGGCAGTTGGGCAGTGGCAAGTAAGGATGTGTTGCCACGGGGCTGTCCACAGAATGACTTTGGCTGTCAGCTGTCAGTATACTGTCTACTCCACCTGTTATCACTATTCTCTGATGAGTGTTTTTGTTCTGTTTAAAGTTGTGTTTCTTTACACTATAATATTTTTCTAAGTTTTTAAAATGAAATAATATAAATATTAATATTAAGGAGCTGGAGAGCCGCATCTTGACATCAAAAGAGCTGCATGCGGCTCGCAAACTGCAGGTTGCCGACCCCTGTTTTAGACGAATTAGTTGCACTATCTCATACTGTATGTCTACTAATATTAAGTATTGCAATCTATAACGGCTACTGATGTATTTGTTTTTCAACTTGATAATGCTAAAAAAAACCTACCAAACTATTTTGTTTAGAACTTCTGCTCTATATAATTTTTTACAAAAGCAAATATCTTAAAGTTGTATTTATAAGTAAGCGGTCAATCTAAGGTGCAGGAATTTGAAATGAATGTAAAGTTTAGCAATGAATCATCTCCCATTTGGAAATCCAAATACCAAAATTTTATTCAAGGGAAATAACTTTCACAAGAATAGCTAAATTAACCAAATGTAACTAAGACATGCTTGAAAAGCACAATAAAACGATTTAAATTTCATTACATAATATTATAAAAAATCTTTTATATTAGCTATGTAACAATATCAAAACAATATATTTTACTTATTCACTTCTTTTTTACTATAGGCTTTGGTCGAAAGTCTAAACACGGTAGCTTTATTATAACATACTTCTAGTCAATTTTTTATGACATACTTTTTATTCTAGGCTGTTATTGTCTTTTTCTGATATTTAATTTTGGATTCCCTAAATAAAGGGACACATTTTAAAAAATCAATTAGAGGTTAATGTTAAGGAAACAGTTGTTATTATTGATGAAGTAATCCAGGGGTCGGCAACCCTTTGAAGGGGAAGAGCCAAAAGTTACCATTTTCAATATTTCCCTGGTTTTAAAGAGCCACTTACATGTTTTTATTTCAAATATTTTTTTTTTTAATTAAGATTATTAGTATTTGTTCAAGGAGCTGGAGAGCCGCATCTTAATATCAAAAGAGCCGCATGCGGCTCGCGAGCCGCAGGTTGCCGACCCCTGAAGTATACTGTTAGTTATAAAGTCTAGCCTATATAATATTATATTTATAAAACTCGTTTAATTTCACCAAGCTCTACAAACGATACTCTCAATCAACAACGATTTAACTGGACCTACTACTACACGTTAACAGTCCACACATTTCGATACCTTAATACCACATGACTCAATAGCCTCGAACTCATCACCTACATTCTCCTCTCTCTACTACCAATCAGATTCCACTAGACCTACAACTACTCAATAACCAAATAAAAATACGACACTTTAACACTTCGATACTTTATACCTACGAAACCATATCAGCAACAGCTTTTCGCTGTTAGTCCCAAATCTAAACGATTCATCAAAACTTACCAAACAAGCACATTTCTTTGAACACCCTGTCATTACAAAACTCTATACACCAGAAGTGATTTCTAATTCAAAGTCAGAGAAAACGAGACTTACAAGCCCTATTAAAAACCAAAATTACACGTATTTTGGAACACCCCGTCATGCGCTGGAGCGATCACCAAAGCAACATTAAAATTAGATAATCGTTTGAAATGTTCAAAATTTAAATTATGAACTTATTTAATCATTTTCCAACATAAAAAGGCAAAGTGACAGGTAAAAAGCACCTCGACCTTTCCAAATTAGGGAGGTGGGGTTGCATTTTCACCTTTGTGAATAAATATAGGCCTATGTAGGCCTAATTTTGGAGTGGGGGTGCAAAATTGATAGTTCTTCCTGGGTGCCAAAATAGATCGCTACTCCTTTGTATATTACCATCTATAGTTTATAAAAGATAATCAAGGTTATTAATTATTAGGTACTTTTTGATAATAGCAATTAAGCATTTTTGAGCCACCCTAGGGATGGCGCTACAGGCGTATGCCTAGTTCACTTTATAGATAGCGTCGGCCCTGGGTTTAAGAAATGTTTCTGTGTGGTTTCACTGTAAAAGCCTCAATACACCATGTAATGTTACATAGTCTATAGCAGTTTGAAACTCTGTCAAATTAGGACATAGTCTATAGCAGTCTGAAACAGCATCAAATTAGGTACTCATTATTGGAATTAGAGACGTGTGTATTTATCATTTGTTAATTAATGAATAGCTAGGTTAGATAATACAAATCTATAAATGTATCATTTGTTAATTAATGAATAGCTAGGTTAGATAATACAAATCTATTATTAGCTAGTTATCAACCCTTGTTTGCTTTTATATGTGCTTCTATATTATCTCCCCCTGCAAATAAAATAGCACAGTGCTAATGAACTTGTGTAATTTTTAGTCATGTAATGGAGAAAAGTTTATTTTTTCTGGAGAAGCTATTTTGAACAGAATAAAGTGATAATCTATGTGAAGAAAATCTACATCTCTTTTAAAAATGACCCTCAATTAATCTCTATAATTATTCTAATTAATCTCTATAATTATTCTGGTACTAAGTCCTAGTCTTGGTCTTTGGTTTACTTATAATCCAAAACAGCTGATTAGATCAGTTGGGCCAAATTTTAATTTAAAATGCTATCTGCAGAGCCTTGCTTGAATATTCAGCTGAAAGACATTGCCAGTGGGAAATACAAAAATGCAACCTTTGCCAAGTATGAAGCTCACAATGAGAATAATAAAGGAGAGTGGGTCAGGGGAGGTAACTACAAAGTTGTTGTTTTTTGTTAAAAAGTTCTGTGACTTAATTGCAGCATCTGATTATATTAAATTATTTTTACAATTAATCTGAATGTTTATTAATGTGCGAGGTAATTATTTTTTCAATCATTGAATTTAAATTATGAGAATTTAAGTAGGATTTTAAAAATACTGTTGTGTTTGGCTACTGTTGAAGTAATTGAACCAAATCAAAGGGTGAGATTAAATCATGGTTGTCCTCAAGCATTGGGGAGCCACACAAAAATTATAAAATGTTTTAGAACTTAACAAAAAAATCTTTTATTTATTATTAATTTATGTTGAAATTTTTTTTTTTGGAAATGTACGCTGCAAGTATTAAATTATATGATCAAATTTTAATAATTTGATTGATCCTAATAAAATAATGTAATTGATTGCAATGAAATAATTCATTTGATCCCAATGGAATGGTTCAATTAATTCTAATGAAATAATTCAACTGACCCCAAAAAGTAATTCAATTGACCCACTGAACTATTTCAACTGACCCCAATGATTCAACTGACCCCAATAATTCAACTGACCCCAATGATTCAACTGACCCCAATAATTCAACTGACCCCAATAATTCAACTGACCCCAATGACTCAACTGACCCCAATGATGTATCTGACCCCAATAATTCAACTGACCCCAAAAAGTAATTCAATTGACCCACTGAACTATTTCAACTGACCCCAATAATTCAACTGACCCCAATGATTCAACTGACCCCAATGATTTATCTGACCCCAATGATTCAACTGACCCCAATGATTCAACTGACCCCAATGAATGTCCCCACAGTTCAATACTCCCACTACCTAGAGTGCTTCATCTCTTGTGCCACCACCACCAGCAACGCCATGGTCATTGGTTGGATGGTTAAACACACCAGCATTAGCCCCAATGTCAAGGCTGTTAAGTAAGTTTTGTTGTCTGCAAAGTTAGTTTTTTTTTTTATTAAGAAATGTTAGAAATGTTTGTTTTGTTTTTTACTTATTAAACTTTTGGTATGCACATTTTACATTTTAAACCACTATCTGCCATAGATTTGTAATCAATAATTTGGACTAGTTTGGCAAAACATCAGTATTTTGCTATTGACTGTTTATTAGAAAGTAATTTACCTTAAAAGACCTATCAATTTGGCATCTGTTTTATCTGTGGTATGTGAAGAAATAGGATGGTCTATTAGCATTCACTTTTCCCAAATTCATGTGCCAATGCTGTCAGTAAACTTGCCCTACCTTTCTGTTGTTCTATTTTTATTTAATTTTTATCATCAGGGGAGGGCAGCAACAGAAAAAAGAAATACAGAAAAAGTAAGCGATATTTTTCTTAGTCTAGTTACTATCCTGTGCATGTCCACTTTAATAGTTTGGTCGCATAATATAAAATTAGGTAAAATTTTTAAAATTTTAAACAGTTAAAAGCAGCAAGTGTTATAACTTTATTTTCTAAATTTTGCCTAGGTCAGAGTTCAATATATCTCAAGGGATCAATGCATTTAGTTACAGTGAAACATTAAATCTGATTGGTCAGTATAATTAAAACATTTCATTCTGATTGGTCTGTTTAATAAAACCTTAACTTAGATTAGTTGGTAAAATCCTGTATGTTAGTTTGTTTAGGACAGTTTCCCCATCCAGTTGTGACAATTGTTTACTAATCATCATTTAACTGTCACACTTCCCACATTTTGTGTATATAACCATGTATGAAAATATGTTTTGTTCTGTCGTTGGTGTTTACAAAATCTCCGTCTGCTGCAGCTACTGCAGGGGTCAACAACCACGTCTGTCTGTGGAACCCCTACGTCACCTCCAAGCCAAACGGGGTACAGTTGTTTGTTTTTTTTTTCTTTTAATTAGCTGATGTGGGTAAAACTTGAGATTAGAAAGTTTTCCATCCATGTTAGTGGTAGCATTTAATAGTAATCTATCCTAGCAGTTAATTAATGTATGAGCCACTTAACACATTGTTGAATTGGTTTTACAAAAACATTATTCATAATGATTAAGAAAAATCTAATATGGAGGCAAATACCATGACAACTAAGAAAAAAATTAAGTTTTTTAAACCATTATAAAAAATCTATTTGAGCATGGTTATGAGGGTAAAAATTTTCTGGCATAAAAGTTTTAAAAGGTGTATTTGTTGTAGGAGCTAGACCTTTTGATTTGATTTTTTAAAAACATCATTCAGCTTATCATGCTATCTAGTTCTTACATGTACACACTTTTCTAAGCTGTGATTGTGGTCAGAAAATGATGTAATGGAAAACTTCAAGTACTTGTAGTATTTGTTGGCGGAATTCTGCACGTCTAAGAAAAGTTTTCCATGTATATGTAAATCAAGATGTTTGTTTCCATGTGACGCATGTTTCCGTATGCCGCAGGTGTTGCGAGGTCACATGGCCTGTGTGACCCAGGTCCAGTTCATGACAGTCAGGAACCAGCTCATCTCCTTCTCTAAGGACAAAGTGCTCCGGATCTGGGATGTCCAGCTCCAGGTCTGCATACAGCGTCTGGCTGGCATGTTCCCTAAAGGACCTGAAGGTATGTTGCCTAAAGGACCTGAAGGTATGTGTGTATGTTCCCTAAAGGACCTGAAGGTATGTTCCCTAAAGGACCTGAAGGGATGTTCCCTAAAGGACCTGAAGGTATGTTCCCTAAAGGACCTGAAGGGATGTTCCCTAAAGGACCTGAAGGTATGTTCCCTAAAGGACCTGAAGGTATGTTCCCTAAAGGGCCTGAAGGTATGTTCCCTAAAGGACCTGAAGGTATGTTCCCTAAAGGACCTGAAGGTATGTTCCCTAAAGGACCTGAAGGTATGTTCCCTAAAGGACCTGAAGGTATGTTCCCTAAAGGACCTGAAGGTATGTTCCCTAAAGGACCTGAAGGTATGTTCCCTAAAGGGCCTGAAGGTATGTTCCCTAAAGGACCTGAAGGTAAGTTCCCTAAAGGACCTGAAGGTATGTTCCCTAAAGGACCTGAAGGTATGTTCCCTAAAGGACCTGAAGGTATGTTCCATAAAGGACCTGAAGGTATGTTCCTTAAAGGACCTGAAGGTATGTTCTCTAAAGGACCTGAAGGTATGTTCCCTAAAGGACCTGAAGGTATGTTCCCTAAAGGACCTGAAGGTATGTTCCTTAAAGGACCTGAAGGTATGTTCCCTAAAGGACCTGAAGGTATGTGTGGATGTTCCCTAAAGGACCTGAAGGTATGTGTGGATGTTCCCTAAAGAAACTGAAGTTTGGTATGTTTCCTAAAAGACGTTAAGGTTTGTAGGTTTCCTACAGGACCCTAAGGTGTGAATGTTCCCTAAAGGACTTGAAGATTGATGGTATCTTCCCTAAAGAAACTGGGGATTAGTATATTCCCTTAAGGGCGAGTAGATTCATATGATCCATTGAAGCTGGCATGTGTGCAGTCAGTCGTAGGAAACCATTTTACTTATTCAACCTTGAAGCCCATTGTATCACTGACTCATGTGTTCTCCTATTTCATTGGTTGACCAGTGACCAGTGTCCTGCTGTTTGACGACAGCAAGGACCGTAACGGCCAGGAGCGCAACAGGCTGTTCACCACATTTGGTCAGCAGATCACCGTGATGGAGATGAAGGTAGAGGTCAAGGACAGAGTCTGTAGCCACGAGAAGCCAGTGGTGGCCGCCATTTACAACTCCCTGTACAACCAGGTAGGTCAAGGTCAACTTGTACAACCAGGTAGGTCAAGGTCACTTTGTACAACCAGGTATGTCAAGGTCACTTTGTACAACCAGGTAGGTCAAGGTCACTTTATACAACCAGGTAGGTCAAGGTCACTTTGTACAACCAGGTAGGTCAAGGTCAATTTGTACAACCAGGTAGGTCAAGGTCACTTTGTACAACCAGGTAGGTCAAGGTCACTTTGTACAACCAGGTAGGTCAAGGTCAACTTGTACAACCAGGTAGGTCAAGGTCACTTTGTACAGCCTGGTATGTCAAGGTCACTTAGGATTGTGTTGATTATCAAGATGCCAAACTTGAATTGAATAAGAATGTCTATCTGGTATTTTAATTTATCATATAATATTAGCATTTTTTTCGGGCAAACTGCCTTTGGGCTAGTGTCCATTCAGGCATTTAGGCGCATTCAGGCAAGTGACCTTTTGGGAATTTGTCGTAGACCTCCTGAAGGCTATGCCTTACCATACCTAAAGGTTAGGTTTATGGCTATAGTATGTGCCTCCACCAGCCTGTTAGGGGTGATAACAAGATGGTATCAATCACTTGATTGGTCAGGTGGTATCAATCATTTGATTGGTCAGGTGGTATCAATCACTTGATTGGTCAGGTGGTATCAATCACTTGATTGGTCAGGTGGTATCAATCATTTGATTGGTCAGGTGGTATCAATCACATGATTGGTCAGGGGGTATCAATCACTTGATTGGTCAGGTGATATCAATCATTTGATTGGTCAGGTGATATCAATCATTTGATTGGTCAGGTGATATCAATCATTTGATTGGTCAGGTGGTATCAATCACTTGATTGGTCAGGTGATATCAATAACTTGATTGGTCAGGTGGTATCAATCATTTGATTGGTCAGGTGATATCAATCATTTGATTGGTCAGGTGGTATCAATCATTTGATTGGTCAGGTGATATCAATCATTTGATTGGTCAGGTGATATCAATCACTTGATTGGTCAGGTGGTATCAATCATTTGATTGGTCAGGTGATATCAATCATTTGATTGGTCAGGTGATATCAATCATTTGATTGGTCAGGTGGTATCAATCATTTGATTGGTCAGGTGATATCAATCACTTGATTGGTCAGGTGGTATCAATCACTTGATTGGTCAGGTGGGCTGGTGTTTACAAATGTTTACAAATCTTCAGCAGACACAGATTCTAATAAATGTGTTTCATTAGATGATAATTTTGATTGTTAACCTGTGGCAGGTGGTGAGCCTGTGTCAGGGTGGGACAATCATCATGTGGCTGGCAGACACAGGTCAAAAGGTCAAGCAGTTTAACAACGCCCACGGCAACTCGGAGGTGACCTGCCTGACACAGGACCAGACAGAGACAAGGCTTTACACAGGCAGCACTGATGGAACTGTCAAGGTACATCACTCTAGTCACTCTTTGCTTATGCATTACTTCCCTTTGTCCTATAAATAGAAAAAAACTTTTTTTTTTTTTAATTTCAACTATTTTGATTTATTTTGTACAATTTTGTATGTTTAAACAATGCTTAGTAAAAAAATAACTTTTAACTCTTAATTAACATTTTAAAATGTAAATAAATCTGCTCACTGTTTATTTCATGAATATAAACATTTGTTAATATCATAAGATTTAGTGTTTTTTAAAAGCCTGTCTATAAAGTTTTAAATTTTCAGGTGTGGGACTTCAATGGTCACTGCTACCATATGTTGGAGTGTGCTGGGGGTCAGCCAGCAGACGTCAGCCAAGTTTTGGTCTTAAAGAGGAGTCTAGTGGCCGTAGGCTGGGCTAAGTAGGTTTCAGGAGTCTAGTGGCTGTAGGCTGGGCTAAGTAGGTTTCAGGAGTCTAGTGGCTGTAGGCTGGGCTAAGTAGGTTTCAGGAGTCTAGTGGCTGTAGGCTGGGCTAAGTAGGTTTCAGGAGTCTGTAGGCTGGGCTAAGTAGGTTTCAGGAGTCTGTAGGCTGGGCTAAGTAGGTTTCAGGAGTCTGTAGGCTGGGCTAAGTAGGTTTCTGGAGTCTGTAGGCTGGGCTAAGTAGGTTTCAGGAGTCTAGTGGCTGTAGGCTGGGCTAAGTAGGTTTCAGGAGTCTGTAGGCTGGGCTAAGTAGGTTTCAGGAGTCTGTAGGCTGGGCTAAGTAGGTTTCAGGAGTCTAGTGGTTGTAGGCTGGGCTAAGTAGGTTTCAGGAGTCTGTAGGCTGGGCTAAGTAGGTTTCAGGAGTCTGTAGGCTGGGCTAAGTAGGTTTCAGGAGTCTGTAGGCTGGGCTAAGTAGGTTTCAGGAGTCTGTAGGCTGGGCTAAGTAGGTTTCAGGAGTCTGTAGGCTGTGGGCTGGGCTAAGTAGGTTTCAGGAGTCTAGTGGCTGTAGGCTGGGCTAAGTAGGTTTCAGGAGTCTGTAGGCTGTGGGCTGGGCTAAGTAGGTTTCAGGAGTCTGTAGGCTGGGCTAAGTAGGTTTAAGGAGTCTAGTGGCTGTAGGCTGGGCTAAGTAGGTTTCAGGAGTCTGTAGGCTGGGCTAAGTAGGTTTCAGGAGTCTGTAGGCTGGGCTAAGTAGGTTTCAGGAGTCTAGTGGTTGTAGGCTGGGCTAAGTAGGTTTCAGGAGTCTGTAGGCTGGGCTAAGTAGGTTTCAGGAGTCTGTAGGCTGGGCTAAGTAGGTTTCAGGAGTCTGTAGGCTGGGCTAAGTAGGTTTCAGGAGTCTGTAGGCTGGGCTAAGTAGGTTTCAGGAGTCTGTAGGCTGTGGGCTGGGCTAAGTAGGTTTCAGGAGTCTAGTGGCTGTAGGCTGGGCTAAGTAGGTTTCAGGAGTCTAGTGGCTGTAGGCTGGGCTAAGTAGGTTTCTGGAGTCTAGTGGCTGTAGGCTGGGCTAAGTAGGTTTCAGGAGTCTAGTGGTTGTAGGCTGGGCTAAGTAGGTTTCAGGAGTCTGTAGGCTGGGCTAAGTAGGTTTCAGGAGACTGTAGGCTGGGCTAAGTAGGTTTCAGGAGTCTGTAGGCTGGGCTAAGTAGGTTTCAGGAGTCTGTAGGCTGGGCTAAGTAGGTTTCAGGAGTCTAGTGGCTGTAGGCTGGGCTAAGTAGGTTTCAGGAGTCTGTAGGCTGTGGGCTGGGCTAAGTAGGTTTCAGGAGTCTGTAGGCTGGGCTAAGTAGGTTTCAGGAGTCTGTAGGCTGGGCTAAGTAGGTTTCAGGAGTCTAGTGGCTGTAGGCTGGGCTAAGTAGGTTTCTGGAGTCTAGTGGCTGTAGGCTGGGCTAAGTAGGTTTCAGGAGTCTAGTGGTTGTAGGCTGGGCTAAGTAGGTTTCAGGAGTCTGTAGGCTGGGCTAAGTAGGTTTCAGGAGACTGTAGGCTGGGCTAAGTAGGTTTCAGGAGTCTGTAGGCTGGGCTAAGTAGGTTTCAGGAGTCTGTAGGCTGGGCTAAGTAGGTTTCAGGAGTCTGTAGGCTGGGCTAAGTAGGTTTCAGGAGTCTAGTGGCCGTAGGCTGGGCTAAGTAGGTTTCAGGAGTCTGTAGGCTGGGCTAAGTAGGTTTCAGGAGTCTGTAGGCTGGGCTAAGTAGGTTTCAGGAGTCTGTAGGCTGGGCTAAGTAGGTTTCAGGAGTCTGTAGGCTGGGCTAAGTAGGTTTCAGGAGTCTGTAGGCTGGGCTAAGTAGGTTTCAGGAGTCTGTAGGCTGGGCTAAGTAGGTTTCAGGAGTCTGTAGGCTGGGCTAAGTAGGTTTCAGGAGTCTGTAGGCTGGGCTAAGTAGGTTTCAGGAGTCTGTAGGCTGGGCTAAGTAGGTTTCAGGAGTCTGTAGGCTGGGCTAAGTAGGTTTCAGGAGTCTAGTGGCCGTAGGCTGGGCTAAGTAGGTTTCAGGAGTCTGTAGGCTGGGCTAAGTAGGTTTCAGGAGTCTGTAGGCTGGGCTAAGTAGGTTTCAGGAGTCTAGTGGCTGTAGGCTGGGCTAAGTAGGTTTCTGGAGTCTAGTGGCTGTAGGCTGGGCTAAGTAGGTTTCAGGAGTCTAGTGGTTGTAGGCTGGGCTAAGTAGGTTTCAGGAGTCTGTAGGCTGGGCTAAGTAGGTTTCAGGAGACTGTAGGCTGGGCTAAGTAGGTTTCAGGAGTCTGTAGGCTGGGCTAAGTAGGTTTCAGGAGTCTGTAGGCTGGGCTAAGTAGGTTTCAGGAGTCTGTAGGCTGGGCTAAGTAGGTTTCAGGAGTCTAGTGGCCGTAGGCTGGGCTAAGTAGGTTTCAGGAGTCTGTAGGCTGGGCTAAGTAGGTTTCAGGAGTCTGTAGGCTGGGCTAAGTAGGTTTCAGGAGTCTGTAGGCTGGGCTAAGTAGGTTTCAGGAGTCTGTAGGCTGGGCTAAGTAGGTTTCAGGAGTCTGTAGGCTGGGCTAAGTAGGTTTCAGGAGTCTGTAGGCTGGGCTAAGTAGGTTTCAGGAGTCTGTAGGCTGGGCTAAGTAGGTTTCAGGAGTCTGTAGGCTGGGCTAAGTAGGTTTCAGGAGTCTGTAGGCTGGGCTAAGTAGGTTTCAGGAGTCTGTAGGCTGGGCTAAGTAGGTTTCAGGAGTCTAGTGGCCGTAGGCTGGGCTAAGTAGGTTTCAGGAGTCTGTAGGCTGGGCTAAGTAGGTTTCAGGAGTCTGTAGGCTGGGCTAAGTAGGTTTCAGGAGTCTAGTGGCTGTAGGCTGGGCTAAGTAGGTTTCAGGAGTCTGTAGGCTGGGCTAAGTAGGTTTCAGGAGTCTGTAGGCTGGGCTAAGTAGGTTTCAGGAGTCTGTAGGCTGGGCTAAGTAGGTTTCAGGAGTCTGTAGGCTGGGCTAAGTAGGTTTCAGGAGTCTGTAGGCTGGGCTAAGTAGGTTTCAGGAGTCTGTAGGCTGGGCTAAGTAGGTTTCAGGAGTCTAGTGGTTGTAGGCTGGGCTAAGTAGGTTTCAGGAGTCTGTAGGCTGGGCTAAGTAGGTTTCAGGAGTCTGTAGGCTGGGCTAAGTAGGTTTCAGGAGTCAAGTGGCTGTAGGCTGGGCTAAGTAGGTTTCAGGAGTCTGTAGGCTGGGCTAAGTAGGTTTCAGGAGTCTGTAGGCTGGGCTAAGTAGGTTTCAGGAGTCTGTAGGCTGGGCTAAGTAGGTTTCAGGAGTCTGTAGGCTGGGCTAAGTAGGTTTCAGGAGTCTGTAGGCTGTGGGCTGGGCTAAGTAGGTTTCAGGAGTCTAGTGGCTGTAGGCTGGGCTAAGTAGGTTTCAGGAGTCTGTAGGCTGTGGGCTGGGCTAAGTAGGTTTCAGGAGTCTGTAGGCTGGGCTAAGTAGGTTTCAGGAGTCTAGTGGTTGTAGGCTGGGCTAAGTAGGTTTCAGGAGTCTGTAGGCTGGGCTAAGTAGGTTTCAGGAGACTGTAGGCTGGGCTAAGTAGGTTTCAGGAGTCTGTAGGCTGGGCTAAGTAGGTTTCAGGAGTCTGTAGGCTGGGCTAAGTAGGTTTCAGGAGTCTGTAGGCTGGGCTAAGTAGGTTTCAGGAGTCTAGTGGCTGTAGGCTGGGCTAAGTAGGTTTCAGGAGTCTAGTGGCTATAGGCTGGGCTAAGTAGGTTTCAGGAGTAGTGGCCGTAGGCTGGGCTAAGTAGGTTTCAGGAGTCTGTAGGCTGGGCTAAGTAGGTTTCAGGAGTCTGTAGGCTGGGCTAAGTAGGTTTCAGGAGTCTGTAGGCTGGGCTAAGTAGGTTTCAGGAGTCTGTAGGCTGGGCTAAGTAGGTTTCAGGAGTCTGTAGGCTGGGCTAAGTAGGTTTCAGGAGTCTAGTGGCCGTAGGCTGGGCTAAGTAGGTTTCAGGAGTCTGTAGGCTGGGCTAAGTAGGTTTCAGGAGTCTGTAGGCTGGGCTAAGTAGGTTTCAGGAGTCTAGTGGCTTTAGGCTGGGCTAAGTAGGTTTCAGGAGTCTGTAGGCTGGGCTAAGTAGGTTTCAGGAGTCTGTAGGCTGGGCTAAGTAGGTTTCAGGAGTCTGTAGGCTGGGCTAAGTAGGTTTCAGGAGTCTGTAGGCTGGGCTAAGTAGGTTTCAGGAGTCTGTAGGCTGGGCTAAGTAGGTTTCAGGAGTCTGTAGGCTGGGCTAAGTAGGTTTCAGGAGTCTAGTGGCCGTAGGCTGGGCTAAGTAGGTTTCAGGAGTCTGTAGGCTGGGCTAAGTAGGTTTCAGGAGTCTGTAGGCTGGGCTAAGTAGGTTTCAGGAGTCTGTAGGCTGGGCTTAGTAGGTTTCAGGAGTCTGTAGGCTGGGCTAAGTAGGTTTCAGGAGTCTGTAGGCTGGGCTAAGTAGGTTTCAGGAGTCTAGTGGCCGTAGGCTGGGCTAAGTAGGTTTCAGGAGTCTGTAGGCTGGGCTAAGTAGGTTTCAGGAGTCTGTAGGCTGGGCTAAGTAGGTTTCAGGAGTCTGTAGGCTGGGCTAAGTAGGTTTCCAGGAGTCTAGTGGCTGTAGGCTGGGCTAAGTAGGTTTCAGGAGTCTGTAGGCTGTGGGCTGGGCTAAGTAGGTTTCAGGAGTCTAGTGGCCGTAGGCTGGGCTAAGTAGGTTTCAGGAGTCTGTAGGCTGGGCTAAGTAGGTTTCAGGAGTCTGTAGGCTGGGCTAAGTAGGTTTCAGGAGTCTGTAGGCTGGGCTAAGTAGGTTTCAGGAGTCTGTAGGCTGGGCTAAGTAGGTTTCAGGAGTCTGTAGGCTGGGCTAAGTAGGTTTCAGGAGTCTGTAGGCTGGGCTAAGTAGGTTTCAGGAGTCTAGTGGCCGTAGGCTGGGCTAAGTAGGTTTCAGGAGTCTGTAGGCTGGGCTAAGTAGGTTTCAGGAGTCTAGTGGCCGTAGGCTGGGCTAAGTAGGTTTCAGGAGTCTGTAGGCTGGGCTAAGTAGGTTTCAGGAGTCTAGTGGTTGTAGG